CAATTAAAAATAAAATAAACAATTAAAAGGCAGTTTCTTTTCAATGTCTAAGGGGCACTTTTCATCATAGTGTAAATTGGTTATTTTTAAAATTATTTTTATTTGTTTGATTTTTACTTTTGCATTTTATTTTCTTTGTAAACTTTCATGTGTATCTAATGTTGTTCTTTCTTTCGTTTTTCTTTTCTCGATTTATATTTTTTTATCACCAGCTTCCGGTTTGAAACAGCATTCGAGTTTTTCTATGTAATGCATTCTTTTTCCCCTGCCGTTGTTTTGAGAGACAGAATAATACAAATTGTAGTTTGGTATATTTCCAACTTGGTTTTTGCTTCTTTTTTCTAACTTAGCTATTTGTTCTTTAAAGTAACGTTAGATATAACTGGTTATAAGCAACGTGTGGAAGTGATTAAGAAGAGGATATCAAAGCTATTTAAGGAAAAACTGATTGGAGTGGGAAATCGTGGTGTTCCTAAAACAACAGTAGGGCACTATTTATGCTGTACTTAATGAAGATGGTTCGGGAGTGCTTGGGTGTGTGTTCTTCCCGAAACAAGATTTTATCAAGCACGAGTTTCTTTGTCAGTTATTAGAATAAAAGTTTCTTTTTGTTCAGCTAACCGTACTAGTTCTGTCTCCACACCATTTTTCAATTTTGTCAAGGGGAACCGTTATACTTTCGCATCGGTGTGGTATCACGCTGGACGGTGTGGGTTTTGCTTGGTCTTGCCGCCTGGTTGGGCGCTATTGTTCAACTAGTCTTTCAAGTTAAGCATGCACTTGGATCTTAGAAAGCAAGGTAACATGATTGTAGCTTTGGATTTCCTAGTACTTTGGGAAACCGGGTTTTGCGAGCCCAGATTATCAGCGTTAGGAGCGAGCATTCAAATTCACCTAAGAAGCAGTCGTCCAGATAGGTAAAATATATTTCCAGTTCTTAATTTTTGAAAATGCAATTTATAAATTTTTGTACAGTAACAAGTAAAAAAAAATTGGACAACAGATGATGGCTGAAGGAATTGTTTTTAGCCTGCCCTCTGCTTATGATTTTTGCTGCAGACTGTGCCACTGGTTTTATGTCGGCACCTCCAGATGATATCTTTATTAGTTTTTGTTAAAATTGTAATCTTAACTGGGTCCATAACTTCAGTTTAGGGAATTTTTTTAGTTTTAATCATGTTATCATTTATTCTTCCGGAAAGCTTATTAGCATGTAAACTTAATCAGAGCAACATTTCAGGCTGTGTTGAACAAATTTTACTCGAATTTGCTAAATGTTTTCGTTGAAAATTTTCTGTGCAAAACATGGTGGTGTGGTTGATCCATTTGTGATACCATGTTATTATAAATTTCTTTTAGAGCTTCATTTCTCTCGTGCTTAATTTTCCTTAGGAAAGTAGTTGTTAAAAACTATCAAAATGCTAGGCAACCATCTCTTTTGGAACTTCTGGTGTGTTAGTTCAAAATAAGATTATATTTTGAAGAAATCATATTTTCTTCCTGTGTGTGTGTATTAGACGCTCTCGGGATGTGATCAAATTCTAGCTACAGTTTTAAGCTGTTAGTCTAATTTCTGGGTTATCGGCTCTTATTTTTTCTTTTTGAGGGTCACAAAAAGTGACTTTAGTGCTTCTATTTTGATCAAGATGAACCCGGTCTTGTTGTTCAGATAATGATGGCTGCGTAGGCAGTAT